ACACACACAAATGGATGAAATAGACATGGATAATAAAATAAAAATAATAAAGTCAATTAGAGGGTCTTATGTTGTAACTAATCTGACTCTAACCATCTGTAAAGCCAATCTAGTTGTAAATTCTACATTGGCAGCAACTTCTATCTGGTTTTAGACTCTATACAAACACTGCCTCACATTCAAATAAAAGTGATTCATCTAATCTTAGATTATTTCTCTGCCAAACATTTTTACTTTTTAAAATGTAATTTTGATCACACAGATACAATCTTCAGATAAAACACAAGATATGGATAACATATATAATTTCAAATATTTTAGAGCTCTGTTCTCATCAAAGAGAAGTTTTGGGGAACATCAAAACAAAACAAAAAAATGTGGCAAAATCTAGTGCCCCTTATCTGATTTCTGCTAAGAAATATTATTTGAAAACAACCCAATGAACAGAACAAGTCACTAAAATGGGTTCTGCTTCCTACATCACTTTCTAGAGTGCAGGATAATGTCTGGCTTATACCTGATAGTTAATGTTCAATTAAAGAAAATAGAAGTATATTTATTTTCTTTATGACATATGTCATGTCAAGCTTTCATTTTGATTCATGTAAAGTTATGGAACAGGACTAGATTCATTAACTAATAAAACTGATATTATTAAAAAAGAAAATTCCCATATACAGTTAGACCAAGTACGTGTGAACATAAAGAACATCAGTGCAAATGTTCCACACAGCACAAATGTGAATGTGCTGTAGGATATGAGGATCACTTACAATAAGAAAACTTTAGAAAGCCAGTTTCCAAAATGATTTAGAAATGGTTCTGCTGTTAAGTGATGAAAGATTGATGTGTTACATAATTGAATTCCTGATGAAAATGTGAGTAATGAAAAAAATCAAGAAAATAAGTTGGAAAAACGATAATTCAATTNGTGTCTGTCTATAAAACTCAATCATTAGGGTGAGGCAAGAGGAGAGGAGGAAGGCCCCTGTGATGGTGGCTGGCCTTGGCGTTGTGGAATTGGGTCGGGCGTAGGCAAAGGAGGGGTCCTGTCAAACCTCCCATTCAAGCCTTCCTGCTGGCAAATTTATTTTATAAACAAAAGAAAGCATCATTATGATGCCTGGCCTGCGATTCGTGAGGGAAGTGTATAAATAGGAGGCTGCAAATAGGCCCCTTTGCCAGTCCCAGCTGGCCACCTGCAGTGCAAGGCAGCTGTCCCTTTCCTTCCACTGTGCACTGAACGGGGACCTCAAGACATAACACAATGATAGGATGGGTGACCCTTTCCTTCACAGACGCTCCCCTCTGTGAGACAGAGTGCACATTTCAGAGGCTTGGCTGCCTCTTTGCAGAAATAAATCCTTAAGGTCTTATAAACAGTTTCCATATAATAATCAGTTCATACTTATTATGAATAAGAAAAACTGGGTACCAAAACCGAAAGGAAAAGATGCCTTTAAAAATAAAACCAAAACTGTAAGGAAAAGATGCCTTTAAAAATAAAACTGCTCAAGGAAAACGTCTATCCTCACCAAGGCTAGCACTGCACAACCCAGCAAAGGGCTATGCTTGCAACAAGGGCACCTACTGCTTGGCTGAAGACGACGTCTCTTCTCAAGGTCAGCATCAGACACTGGGGCAAGCTGCATGCAAGTTCCTGAAGCAGCACGAAGGTCAGGGACTGCTTGGCTCGGCTCACCACTTCTCCCATGCAGTCCTTCAGGGTAAGGATGAGGGGATACAACTGCTCATACCAGTCCTCTGGGAGGGGAAAAGCGGGTGTAAAAATAGCAGGATAAATGAGGGAAGGTCTTGGAGGACAGAAAGCCAATTTATTACGGTTTCAGTCAAGTTATACATATTATTAAGGATTCACGAAGACTCGATTTGAAGATCTCCGATGCATATCTCTCCTCTGAAACCCAGATGTCTGTAACCAGCCACCCATCAGACCTTTCCACTTGGGGATATTTAAGGTATTTACATTAGAACTCCTCTCCTCTCCGCTTATCTCCCATNAAAAATATAACAGAGATTTATATAGTGATTACATTGAATCTATAGATCAATTTGTGGAGAAATTGCCATCTAAACAATATTGAGAATAACAACTTGCGAACATTGATTGTATTTCCATTTATTGGATCTTATTCATTTCTTTAAGCAATATTTTCTGTGTCCTATGTACAATTTTTTTAACACAAAAGAAATGAGAACTCAAAAATGAAGTGAGAGGGGGCTTACCATACAATGCGAAATTAGAGTACTTTGCTGAATTTAGAATGCAATTACTCTCTTTGATGCTATTGTGAATGAAATGATCTATAATAAATCACCATTGTTTCTGACAGCTTTTCGGGAGTGTGTTTTTTTCTGCTCTCCAGTACACATCAAGTCAGCCTCCCCTGGTTGGGAAACTGCTGGTTTTCATGGACTTTCTTGCCCTCATGAAACTGCGCTAACAGAGCTGGGGTTGGTGGGGGCAGCCCTTGCAAAAACACCACGGGCGCCAAACGGTTTTATCCAGTGTTCACCGGTTGTCCATGAATAAGTACTTCTAAATTGGTGTGTGCATTATTCCTTTAGCCCTAAGACACGACTGTCCTAGACAGCTCTGTCCAACTGTAATGTCGTTTTCTGGAGAGAGGATTTGCCAAGCTGCTCACTTCACTATCCTACAAGTCCCATTCCCATTGGTGGGATAACCTTTGAATTTAGATACGGCCTGAAGCCCCTCTGAAACCGCAGCCTGAACTCTGCCATTATCAAATGGCCGCCTGGTAAGCATCCTTTATAAACTGTATTAAAAGTGACCCTTTCTCACTTTTGATAATAATCTACATGGTGATATAGAGTGGTACAATTTTCCGGGTATGCATACGAGCAATTTTACTCCTCTTTCTTCCAATGAATGGAAAATTAAGCATTAGTTTGCAGAAGAAATATTTAGTATTATGAGGATGTAGTTTTTCTTTATGCATAAGAGGCAGTCACTTTTCATTCAACCATGTATCTTGGGGTATCCTTCACACAGAATTTAAAATAATTATATGTTTACTATAGTCAAGAAAACAAGTTTAATATGAACTTTCATACTAAATCTTTCTCTCTCTCTAGAATGAACAGGGTTCTCTCTTTAGTACATTCATATTTATTCATTGTGATCTGAGACTGTTTAAAATTTCAAATATCCTCAGGCAGCACTGAAAAGTGTTAACACCAGAGTGGTTAAAATTTGGAGGACTTCTGAATGAAACGATTTACCATAGGATGCAGTTCTTCTGTAGGAGGTCTATACTACACATCATCATTTTTCTTAATTCTTTCTGATATTCTGCCCATCATACACTGAACTTTGAAGCTATTTATTTAAAACCATTCTCGGAAATCTCAGTCTGGGAGTGAATTGTCAAAAATAATTAAGAAAAATGGTGGTCTATGCCCCTGACATAGAAATACATCTTTTCTAAAATGTTGTTGCTTTTAACAGAATTTAATATAAAGTCATTTCAAGAATTATGATGCTATTAACCAAATGATTCCAGCAAAAGTAAAAATATTCAGAGCTTTAGAGTAGACAGTCATAAAGAGAAAAATGTTCTTATGCATGTTGTTACTTTGAATTCCTCATATTTCAAGGGGAAACATTACCATACTCACCTCACTTTAGTATAATTTACAAACAATGATGAGACTTCTAGGAGATTTTTTTAAAGATCTCCCGCTGTCATGTCACCTACATTTATTTTTTCCCAAAGATGAAAAGAGAACAACAAAATTTCCAAACCAAACCTCAGTTCTACTTGGTGTCTTTGTCTGAAGTCAATCCAAATATCTAACAAAGCCTGGGCGTTAGGAAATGGGGACCACCTACCGCCTTCCTGTGATAACTGGCAAGACATCATTGGATTTGGCTTCAATTATTTTAAANCAAAGCTCGAGTCTGATACCTGAGGCTTACCTCTCAGCCAGAGTCTGCTGTTCATTGATTCCCACGTTAAAAAGCACTGGATACACGTGAAGCAATTGTCCTTCTTTAATCTGTAGAGGCAGCACCTCAAACATTCTTGCTGGAAGCTTCACCTCTACCACATAATGCTCACTGCAGAAAGTGGGGGACAAAGAGAGGAAGCATCACTTACTTCATTCATTTTTATATTATTTCAGATTCGCTGGAAAGAAACACTACAGCAGTTGGAATAGAGTGCTGATTTGGGTTTTTTGGCTGCTATCTGCTTATTTTCTGTTATTCATTCATTCAATAATCATTTCATTCACTTCACTATTAAATTACTTGGCATAAAGACTTGTTTACATGTTTGATTTGTCTCCATTTACTCTGAGCTCCTTTAGGAAAGGAAGAACGGTTAGCTCATTTTTGTATATAAAGGCCTCATATCATAAGAGCCTCAATATTTGTTTTCTTGATTTAGTTATTTTTAAAACCCAACCAGTCTCAAAAATAAGGATTTTAACAATGAATTTTTCAATACAGAGAAACTAATACACCTGATCATGTATAAAATTTTTTAACAGACATGGCCTGATTGTTATTAGCATTGATGAGCTATTTGTGATGGCCTGGTGAAAATGTAATGGTTTCATTATTTAAGGTTACCTTTGGCAGTTTCTGATCATTTTGCAACATTAGCGCATCACAGGTATATTTCCCAGAAATTGGAAATTTCCATTAGAAATTACCCCTAGTGCTTAATGTTGAAATTTTAAATTAGGGTTCACAAAGTATGGTCACCAAGGATAGCTACTTGTATATTTTGAAGGTTGACATCTTCTGATGCAGTGTGACTTGAGTATGGAAATACAGAGCATTTTGCTCAGGGTTTAGGAAAATGCATGTATTTCCAGAACTATAATACATAGAATGCTGGAGTTGTAATCCATGTATTGGGAAAAGGAGTCCAGGGTAATTAAAGAGTTTCTTTGTAAAAGTCTTTTTAGTTCCTCCTATGCATATAGTTAACCAGTTGTCACTGCAACACTTTTTTAAAAAGCAATCAAATTTCTTTGTGAACATAAATTTTCATTTGTTGGGGATAAATGCTCAGGAGTATAATTGTATGGTAAGTTTCCCCCCCTCCGCATTTTGTTTTTTGAGTTTTCAATTTTTTTATAAAATTAGTTTCAGGTGCACAAAACAACAAAGTGCCTAGACATTTATATACCTCACAAAGTGACAACACCGAGAAGTCCACTACCCACCTGACACTGTACATAGTTATTACAATATTATTGNCACTCATGATGTATCCAGTGAAGCCGCGTAGCTAATGGCTCACCAGTCCAGTCACTGCACCAGCCTCTCCAAGAGCTAACTACCTGCCCAGGCGGCTCTCCCACACTGCTGATTCTATCCCCTGGGCTCTTTCCAGTGACAGAGCAAAACATGGAAAGAATGTTTCAGTGTCTTTACAAAAACTTGCTGAAACGCCTTAACCCTGAGACCAACAAGCAAAGTCTTTCCTCAGGAAAACAAAATGTGCGTGGCTTTGCCGAGCTTTTCCTGAGCTTTGTGAAGGGTGTTGGAAGCTGTCCAACAGAGCCTGTTTTCTGGCCATTTATTCATTTCTGTAACAGAACACACTCAAGTGACTCTCACTGAAGGATTCAAAGGACGACTGCTGGGTGACCCCCTCATCCCCTTCACACACCACCTACTTCCTGCATAGGATGTACACGTCCTCTGAGCTCAGTGGCACTTATGTGGCTCAGGAGAAAAACAAAGGAGCCAGATATCAGCCAACTATAGCAGAGCATAATGCTTTCTTTCCAATTTCTGAGCCATTTTCTTCTCAGGTGCTTGGTCTTCTTTGCTCATTTAAAACGATTTACTTCAGATGAGCTTGCAGCCATTGTTATTTTTGTTATCACAACTTTTCAGACATAGAAAAAAAGAGAAGCTAAAAGTTTGCATGCACACTAAACTTTATGCAAAGAGATAAGAGAAGAAATGAACCCAGCTTTGAGGATTCACTAAGTTAAGAAGATGGACTGTAATGCCAAGCAATAGAGTGGCCTTTAAGG